AGGGTGTGACACATTATATTCACCCATTTTGGTTTAAATGATCTTGTGTTGATTGGCAGGCCATTATCAATTGTGTTCCTTTGGCAAATTCCAAGTCTGTATATGAAAGCCCACATAATCCAGGCTATTGATTATGTAATCAATCACTTGCTTAACCTGTCTCACAAGAGTAAACTTGTTTAACTTGACTAAATAAACTGTGTATAGAAGCACAGCTATTGATGAAGCTGAATCATATTTCTAATATTAGTTTCTCAATTCTCATTATACTTGATTTCCAATGTTGTTGTGAATTTAATTTCAATTTTATTGTATTAAGAGTTAAAATTCTAAATTTCATTCACTTTTATCAGACTGTATCATAGGATCTTACTCAATTCAAATGCCAAAAGTGGTAAGACATCTAATATAAAATTTAGATTATAGTCATTTCCTGATTAGCAAGTTTCTGGGACCAGAGATACCCAGAAACATCAAAAAATTGCCTTCTCTGGATGATATTTGAGTAAAAAATAGTGGTGCATATGAAGGAAAAAGTCACATTTTATAGCTAGTGTGAGATACAAACTGAGTAAAGTACTTGGTTACATACTTAGTTAGATCCATAATATGTCAACAAGATTAAACTGTCTTAATAGAATTGAACCAGATCAGTTTTGGAGGTCGCTTACATAAGCATACATCATCATGAGATCAAGTTTGTATCCTCCCCTACAGAAACCTAGCCATCAACTTTCCTGTTGTGCTCAAATTAATTGAGAAATCCAATTTCTAGCACTTGTACCTCCACTTTAAGCATCTATTTGCTGACAAATATAGCTTTGATATATTGAATATTTGAATGTCTCTGATCAATACAGTAGCGGCAAGATCAAAAACAACTTTCCCATGTCAAAATGGCAGATAGGAAAGTTGTTTGATTTTGCTGCTACCATTTTGACATGGGAAAGTCATTTTGATCTTACTACTACTGTATTATATATCCTCATTGGGCAAATTTACTACAAAAATAGTACAGTACCTTTATTGTGTCAGGGGACCCCCCTTGCACTGACTCAGGCTCAGAGTACGAGTCCGTTCCGCCCTTATCACCGCCTCTGCCACTTGTCCCCTCCTCCTCCACTCCTGTGTTCCCCGCATCCGTCATGCCGTCCAGAGTCACTCCCACCGCAGATGCCCGGCTGGACTCACTCAAGGCAAAAATCAATAGCCTACCTGAGGCCTTTGCGTTACTCACCAACCAGGCTTCCGCTGCCGCTGCCGCCTCTAACAATGCTGCCAGACCCCAAATACCATCGCCAGAGACGTCGATTCCGACTCCGACTCCGGTCCAGGGCGACTCCAAAGCCCTTTTTGGCGACATCAACCTCGCCTCAAAATTGGTAAACCCCCCATTCACCTTCAAGGCAATCAGAAACATGGTCCGCACCTACGCCCGCCTTGCCCCTGAGGCCTTTGTGGTCAACGCAGAGGCGAGCGAGGAAAAGGCCGTCCGCTATGCCATGTCATTTATGGCAGAAGGACCCACTCAGCAATGGGCGGAGCACCACGGAACCAAAGCCCCGTTTCCCTTTCCGTCCTGGGGCTCGTTTGTTTCCGAGTTTCAACTCCGGTTCGACAAGGAGAACGAGCAAGATCATGCTCTCTCCAAACTGAAGACTTCCGCCTCCCACATGGGCACAAAGGATATCTACCAGTACACCAACGACTTCGAGGACCTGATGGACCTCGCCGGATTCGAAGACACGTTGGTTAAGGTGACCAAGTTCCGCCACGGGGACTTGATCCCTTGATTAATAATGGAATCACATCCTCGAACGACCCCCCGGACCTTCAGGATTACCTTAGCTGGCGCACCCGGGCCTTCCGTCAATACGATCAAGTCAGCCACCCCCAAGACGCCTGGCGGTTTGATTCAGACTCCGTTTCCAGTCAACCACGTCCCGGCTCCGGCCCCTTTCCGCCCGGTGGCTCTGGTCATGCCACCCGCGGCCTAGGGTGCAGTTTTTAAAGATTTGAGGATTAAAAAACGGTTTATAATTTTCCGTATCCCAAACTGGTGTTTATAAACTAGTTTGTAAACCAGGCATCCAAACACGTGATATTCTTGATGTCATTATATAATTTTTTTAGCCCTATATTCTGGGTGAAAGAGTTACCTTTATTCCTCTTTTCACTCAGTAACCTGTGGTACAGGTCATAATTTACTATATATAAGGTACAGGACTTATAATTAATAATTTAGATCAGCTGGCTAGTAGCCATATCACTAAGGTCACGTGACTGGCCTGGTATATAAACCAGGGACCCAGTCAAATCTTTTCAAACCAGTGTTTATAAACACTGGTTTATAAACTGGTTTGTAAACCGGATCAAAAAACTGCACCCTACCGCGGCCCGTGCCCCCCGCTCCGGCTCCCGTCCCTATGGAGTTGGATCGCACCAGGGCTTGGGGTGCGGTCCGCCTGCTAGGGCACCAACTATATACTGGTCATCCATAACTGCCAATGTAGAGCAGTACAAGTCAGGTAGAGTTTGTTCGAGTCAGGTCAGGGTACACTAACCCTGACCCTGACCCTGAAACCCTCATGCTCTACCTTACCAACTTCTGAACCTGGCCAAACCTGGACTCTTTCAAGATTAACCAGAAACGTTGGGGGCTATCAAATACCCCAAGAATGTTGTTATTATGTTAAGTACTCACAAATATATTGTCTACAGAATTTTTGTGGAGCTGCCCACCAGCCGCTTCTGAGCCGCCCACCCCAGAAGCAGCGAAATATTTTTGCCCAAGTACAAGTCAGGTAGAGTTTGTCAGTTTGTCAGAGTCAGGGTCAGGGTACACCAACCCTATCTCTGACCCTGAGACCCTGACCCATGCTCTACCCTACCAACTTCTGAACCTAGTCAAACCTGGACCATTTCAAGATTAACCAGAAAGGTTCAATAGGCAGTTGTGATTTAACAATTTACCATCTAAACCTCATTTTTGTAATTTTTTTTTTTTTTGAAAATTCAAGTTACTTATGTAACTCAATATATTATTATAATTAGTGAACTGTATTGACCATGCTCTAGATCTTGAGAAACAGGCTACATATACTATACCTGGCACAAGTATTATATACATGTACCAGCTATATATAGTGGAAGCACATATGATCAGTACCTGGTCATAGTGGTCCTTTGGCCCAGTTGGATTCTATGTTAGCACTTCTACACAGATTTTACAACAAGATAATATAGCAAAACATATAAATTATTGTTCTAAACATATCTTCTGCTTTCATGTCTGTGACCTGTAGGTCAACCCAGACCTGGTTGAACCTATACCCAAAAGGGGCAGGGTCTGCCTTTCAAGACCCAGACCCAGCAGCCCTAGTGCCAACAGTAATGTTATTAAAGCTATCATAATCAACATGAGATAGAGGGTAGAGGCAGTGGGAAAGCAAAGGGTACATCAGGCTTTAGATCAGGTCATGCAAGTTTTTTCAATAAAACATGCACCTGGAACAGAACAGATACTGAGTCAAGTTGAGTTGTTATAGCCTAGTGAGTCATTGATGTCTTCTTGTATAGAGAGAAATCAAGTCAATTCAATAAACCTTGACTTGTAGTGAAAGTCTGTAGTTTTGTAGTCAAGCATATCAGGGTTGAAATCAAGTTTGTAGAACTTTAAAATACCTTTCTGACTATATCTGACTTTTGATGAACAGCCCAGAAACCATCAAGTAATTGGGTTAACAATCTAATGGTTAAAATGTATTTTATAATAAAAGTCTATGGTTTTATATACAATGAACTTTATGTTGAATACCAGTTTGTAGGCCTATTGAATACCTTCCTGCTCATATATAACATGTTAGGAATGGATAAGAACTTATTGAGATATGACCCTACCACTGTTTTGAAAACTCAGTGTTGGGTCAGTAATTTGCATTTTCTGACTCAACCATTGACTTTAAAGCCTAAGTCTAAACTGAATAGTAACATGTATTAAGGGTCCCTACAATCTGGTAACATTTATTAGAAAGTTTGTGTAAAGTCATTACAAAGTTGTTATCCCATTTACCCTAATTATATATTTAAATATGTAGCTGGAGACTGAACTTGTAGGGTCTACCCTGAGGTCAGACCCTTAGGGTTGACTTGAAGGTTGACCCTTGGGTTAACTTGAGGGTTGACCCTCAAGTCACTGATATACATACAATATCTCTTACAATTTCTCCAATACATATACTGATAGTTTTAATCACAATTTTTGGCATGAATAAATTTCAACAATGATTTCATTGTACTGTAAACCTACAGTTTCAGCAGTGGAGAAATGCAAATAGAAACAAAGAGAATCTATGTGCATTTCTCTACTGCTGATTTCCTTTATATCATCCGTGCTGAAACTGTCAGTGAAATCCTTTGTTTCACTGTCAGTTTCGCCACATTTGATGTGCATGATATCATGACCAAATATATGCGCACAGATATGAACCATTTCAGGAATGGTTTCAGTCCTATAGATAGTTTTCATCTCAGACTGCCTAAAACTAGTATATATAAAAAGGTATATTTTGGGCAAATCTCCACAGGTTGATTTGGTTCTAGATTCTGGAAGAATCTAAAACAGTTTCTACTTCAAGGGATATTTTACCAAATCCGGTGTGTATATGTTACAGTGCCTGTGCGCGCGACTGATTGGATTCCTCGCCGATTCAGAACATGCTGAATGAAGTCATCATGAGGAAAGGTGCCACGTCGGTCACGGGTCACGGTCACAGTGATTCGGATACCTGTTCTCTTCAGACCCCCACCCGAAAACAATGGGGCCAACAACGCTAGAGGTTTTGCCAATGGAGGTGGTACATGAAGTGCTTGAATGTCTCTGCGCGACTTTCACCATTCCCCCACTTCTTGGGAGGGACGACAGCCGTCGGCAGTGTGGGCTCGCACTCGGGAGTGTTTCACGCAGGCTGAGGGCTGCGGCTCTACCCTGGATCTTTTCCATGGCCTATAATCGCTGCGTAGATGGTGTTTCTGTCTGGCCACAATCGTTGAGGCGTTATTTCGTGTGCGTTTTACTGAGTCGTCACTTGTACCTCCAGTTCTGATCAGTGAGCAGCACCATTCACCTTCGTGACGTTGACGGCAATGGCCAACCGCTACTGCTGGGTAACAGCGTGTTTCAAGCACTGAAGTATATGCCGCGACTGACGACACTTACCGTGCGTGCCACATCCCCTTCCCTCCCCTCTGATTTTGTGGACTTGTTGGCTGAGCTGACATCACTATCTGTTTTGGAGCTTCACCAAACAAGGCTGGATGCGCCGCGCCAGCTCCGTGGCCCTGTGATGTTGTCGGCTCTGCACTCCCTCGTCATCCGCACTTCGGGCTTCTTTGCCATCTGTCGGCCTCCGGACCTCGATGTACAGATGGAGCAAGCCAATATTCAGTCTTTCCTAGCTGCTGTCTCGGGCCAGCTCTGCGCCCTCACAGTATCTGGGGACCTAATTTCGGCGTCATTCGCCGCCATATCGTGGCCCAAGTTGACGAGTTTCTCCATAACGGAACACCCGCCTGTGCAGCAAATGCACCTGCATCAACTAGTCGGACGGATGCCACTACTCGACACGCTCCATGTCTTGTTTACGGCGGACCTCGCCAACAACCGGCTCCCGCCTTTCTCGCTAACAGAGGCGGAGGGTGACCTGGCATACATGGACCAGCTGACGACAGTGTCCATCTCCAACGTGGCTTTCTCTGACCCTGTTTTTTGCCATCTCCCACCGATGCTGCTGCAGCTTCATCTAATTGCACTGGGTGATGTATTCGATGCTCAGGTGCCCCGCCATCGGCGCAACCGCTTCCGGCACTCCAATACGTGGGAGGCTCGGATGAATTCCACGGAGGCGCAACAGTTTCTCAGAGGCCTGGGAACGTTCTCGCAGCTCTCCATACTCTCTATCGCCCTCTCCTCACAAGGCCCAGGGGAACTGATTGCATCAATCGCAGCCGTGGCGCCGCAACTTCGCGATCTGGCCATCCACTGCCTCCCTCATGACAACAACCCACTGGTGCTGATCGATTTCGAGGGCCGTGTAAGCATAAACCGTCCTCAGGCTCTTTCATAACCCCATTCATGCCGTACGTAGGCCCAGGCCATATTCGCGGAGCTGCGCCTCTTCCACGGCCTCGAGAGCATCACGTGGGGGCTGCAGTATATCACGCATGAGGCCCACCCTGGCCCGCCGTCGCACGCTGCATACCGCCACTTCAGAGAGGTGCCCGGCCTGCAGTGGGTCACGTACATCTTCGGAGGGTATTTCGACACAATCCCAAGTGCTCCGCTCGTGTTTTCCTGGGAGCGCGGCATGCTTCTCCACCCCGAGCCCCCACGCATAATCAACACCATCCGGAGCGCTTCTCCTATCATGATGTGATTGATCATTGGCACAAAGATCGTAAGCTGGTAGAGTGAGTAGTGAGATTCAAGGTACTCATGTTGTATGTAAAAATACTAGCAATTAGTAAGATCGTCCTCCGTCATACTAGTACTGCTTTTGCATCCCTGAAATGTCAACAAGCCCGCGAACATCGACTGAATGCAAATCTGTGAGCCTTGGAATAGTAAACGGGGCCTAGCCCAATAGTAAACGCTGGGCCGCGACTCGTGCGACGTGAGCAGTTGCCAACTTTCTCCTTCGCTCAGCCCTTAGGACGCACGATCGAGTCTGCGCCTTAGGAACAGCAATCCGACTCGGATCCATGCAGAGCCACGAGCCTTGAACAGTACTCCGTCGACAAGAAAAGTGCACTGGCAATTCCCGTCCTCGAAGAAGTATTTGTGGTCTACCGGTGACCACTGCGCTACCAGCGATAAAGGTCAACGAGCCTATCTTCCTCGCTGCTCGAAGGTGTACCTTGTGCGTCGAGAGTGTTGGTTGTAGCGGTCATTTCGACTTCCGAATGTCACTGAGGTTGACGTTAACGTTCAGGCCAAGTCTTGATGATGCTTTTGCCTACGTAAGCGTGCGTTGATCTTGTTTCCTCACTTCATCATTGCCAGGTCGTTTAACGGACCGGTGGTTACACAGCGCTCCAGAAGCTTCGGCTCCTCCTTGATAATCGAGGCATCAACTTGCTCCGACTTGAAGAGCAGAGGAAGATCTTGCCAACCGCAATGTCTTCGAACTTCGAAGCTAAGATGGATTGTCGACGGCGACGGCGACGGCTAAAGGCTGATTTGGGGGTGGAGCGCCTGGCCTTCTGGAATGTGCAGCCCGGGGCGGAGGGAGATATTGGCGTGCGCGCGGGGGAATACTAGCGAAGACAGCTGGTGAGCCTGCTCTCCAAGGCCCTGTTGTCGTGGAGGAGCATAATCATTAATGCATTTTCTCTCTGCAGCAAATCCCCCACGCTCTGGCAGCCCCAGTGGCGGAGGACTGCAAGCTCGCATTGGACCCATCTGCATGGAGACTGGAGCAGTCAACGCTTTCACAACCAATCGCGGCGGCATCGATCCTTTCCCAACCCTACCGTCCACTTTCACGAACTTGAAGAGGTGTTGCCATGGAAGCTTGGCGGAAAATGGTTAGGCGGCTCAAACCCAAGTACGTTAAGCCATCGACGCGCTCTTTTGGTCTCTACATATCTCAACCCTTTCAGATTTCCGCATGGCTTTCGCCAAAAACCCTTTACCGTTGCCACTGTGACAGCACTGTCAGGACCCTGCGCTAACCTCCATGCCCTTCCACCCAAGCCTCGCCGCCCAGCTCCGCGTGCGCTTTCCCTCCCTGTTCCCTCCCGGCGCAACCTTCTACGGCTTCGAGCTCAACAACAACGGCTGGTCGCCACTCCTATCCCGACTCTGCGCGCGTCTTGCGCGGATGCCCTCACCGAAACCGTTCATGGTCATCCAGGAGAAGCACGGCTTCCTCCAGGTCGCGTTTGACGAGGGCGATGATGAAGACGACTACGCGGAGTATGTGCAGTCTGACGCGGGGAGCTACCGCAGCGACGACGACCGCCTGGAAGATGTTCGCGATGATGTGTTGACAACGTTGTCCAACACTCTCAGCGAACACCTACCGGGTCATACTCTATACGCTGGCAACGCAGAAGAAAGCGGGAACACTCTCGTCGAGGTCGACGACGACAGCACTGAAGCGTTCCATGTGGTGGAGATGGCTGAGCAGGAATCGCTGCTGCTTTGTGCTCGATGCGGGGAAGACGGACGGATGGCGATTGCGGACGCGACGCAGTGGATGCAGGTCATGTGCCCCGAGTGCTTGGACATGAAGAACGCGGATGGCGAGCGGCACTCTTGGGACGCCCCTGATTGGGATGATAGTGATCCGGAATCGGTGTAAGTAAATGGAGGCCTTCCTCTCTGACTCCGTTGTGGGGCAGTGCTTGGTAAGTGTGTCTCTTTCCTGTGATTGTTTTGCCTGACAATTTTCAGTCAGGAAACTAAGGTGTCCTTGCATCGGACAAGTCAGCTACTTATGCATGTCCCGATCTCAGACAATACTTGATGGTCCTTTCGTCTATTGGCCTTGAGCTGACACATTATAGTATTACACATTCTTCTGTACGGTATCCCTCAACTCTATGTAATCAAGCAAAAACCTCGTCCCAATTTGACCGCTGCACAAACTCCGCAAACGTGTGCAGCCGAATTCCTTCGGCGCTTGCGAGCGACTTGTGTGCATAAACTGAAGGGACGGAAAATAAATTGTCAGATAATCTTGCCGCTCGGAAATCCCATTTCTCACCTCCGAATTCGCTGAAATACGCGAAGGTCTGGATGGTGTCTTCCGCGAGCAGCTCTGGGACACCTCCTTCTAGAAGTCGTCGTTTCCATTCCTCGGGGGTGATTTCGTTATAAACGACGTTCTTGCCCGTCCCTAATTTCAAGTCCTCAGAATGAAATAAGCGAAACGACAGTAAACGCACCCTGTGATATCGCTTTCGCGATTTCTTCTGGAGTCAAGGCTTCCCCGCGGGTGTTGACCTCCTGCCCGTGGGGGAATACCTCCGGCTCGATGACCCGTCTCACTACGAACTCCCCGTAATCCTTCTCCACGTCTATCAACTCCATCTTCCTGTCCTTCTTCATGTCCCACTCGATCCTGAACTCGCCTGGCTTCCCGGCCACGGGACGCACCATGCGCAGCGCATCGACCGTCGCGAGAAAGTTCGCCATGTAGAATGCGGCCGGGACGACCACGAACCCCACGGGCGTCCCCGCGGTAACAGCGAGCCCGTACTTGGTTATCGTGGCCTTGCCTTCGTAGTGGAGCATCGACGTGTATTTGCCGTTGCTGACCTCTCGGGGCGACAGGAGGCCGGACCAGATTATGCCGCGCATCGACGGCGCTGCTCTGGCGGCATCGATGAGCAGCCGGCCCTCCGCGATCTCCTGGACGACTTTGTCAGGCGGAATGGAAATGGATACCTCAGGTGGAACGCCTACATACCCGATCGAGGTCGAAATGCTCCCAAAAATTGGTCACCAACTACCGCCAATCTTCAGCTCGCGTTCCGAAGAGGAAAAAAACTAGGAAAATCACGCACAAACGCATAGTCCGCCCCCTCAAACGCGCTGCGCGCCGCTGCCTCGTTGCCCAGCACAAAATTGGCCGCGACGACCTCGACCCCCCTGGCTTTCAGCGCCTCCGCGGCAGGCTTGCTCGCATCCCGGGTGAACCCGCGCACACGATATGGCTTGGAGGACCCGGCCAATGCAGCGACAAGAGAGCCGCCTTGCAGGCCTGTCGCGCCAACGACCGCCACGAGCGGCGCGGAGGGAGAGGGTGAGATCGTCATGTAGTACGGAATCAGAAGCTGTGAGGATATCTCAGTGTCCAACACATCGAGAACTTATATACGCGCACCCACGCATCTCGCACCGCGTAAGCGCTGACGTGAGCATGTGTCAGCTATCGGGATATAGCCTTGCGTAGTATTGCTAGCTAATTTCAAGTTGCTAAGAGCGGGGACAAGAGCGGCGAATGTGGGACCTGATCTCCGGGTAAGCGGTAAACCTTGAAGAGACAAACTGTCGCTCGCTCATCACGCAATCCGCAAAGCAAAGAAGAGAGTCCATCGTATATTGCGTCGTCAGATACATAAAGCAGGGGGCAACAATAATCAATCTCGTGCCACAGCGCAGTAGATCTAAGGCTCCAACCAAGTACATACAATACCCAATATATTGAGTCATAACCCAATACATTGAATACAATCTATATATATATATACTAGACAGGCTGGGGCTACGCCCCCAGCTTCAAACATTGCTTCACAGCTTTTGAAGATTGAATGTGCTAATTTTATTTATGAGTTTATGAAATCTCAAGGTCTACATGCCCTACATACTAATGTTACAGCCAAGAACAATATCACAAATAGCCTTAGATTAGACTTGTTTATAGTACTTGGTGCTCTTAGTTTTACATAGTTTTACAGCTTTGTGTCCCAATTAGACTCTTTACAGCTTTTCTTACCAAATTAGGGTTTCAACAGCAGTGAACCCAAAAGTGGAAATGTGGAGTAAATGAATTGCTAAAGCTGATGCCAAACATGTGCATACATTTACACGACATCTGCTTAATATAAGAGTAACAGGGTGGCAAAATTTCTAAATATAGAGTATATACTGTATAGATACTCTATACTATTGAGTTTTCTCAGAGGCCTATATAGACAGTATCTGTAGGTTATACAAGGTGTTATCAAGTCAACTTCTTTCAGATAAGGTATTTTCTGAGTCTTTGTTACTATACTTTTTGGGACTATATCTGATACTAAAAGTTCAGGTGCTACTTTGACCACAGCTTCCAACTGACCCACAAACTGACCCATTGTCACGGATGAGACCCGGCCCGTCTGCTCCGGCGCTGGTGTCAGGCCACCGCGGGCCCGTAACACGCAGCATGTGACGACGGGGACCATGCGCCCCAGTAGGAGGAATGCACACGTGGGAAGCACGTGACCGAGAACGATGCGTCGAGCCGTTGCCGAGCCCAACTCGACACCAGGGGACTGGGGAGGAGTGCTAGGAGGTTAGGAGGAGCACCTGGCCTGCAAGGGATGTACGATCGTCCCCTCTGCGGCCAGGAACGGGGGCGAGGAGGAGCAGGAGAGGCCAGGGTGTCCGATCACCCCCTTTGCGGGCCCGCGTATATAATGTGCAATAGCGTACCATGTACCCTATCGCTTAGATTGTCTGAAGAACTACCTTTCTCCATGCAAGGAGACGCTAACGACTCATCAGGCCCGATACGACCCGATTCGAACCTTCGACCACCGACAGCGGCAAGGGACCGAGTTAACAGGCCCTTTCGGTTTCGATCTACCCCGCTCGCCGTACCCGCGGGCCCGACGATCCATCTGTTCTGTTCTGGGCGCTGTAAGGGCAACCCCGGAGGCCTGAGATCAAGGCCTAGCAGGGGAGGATCCTAAGCGTGAACATTGGTAAGCAAATACAAATGAAGCTGACCTAGCAGGGGAGGATCCAAAGAGAAGAAACTCTAAGGGAGAGCCGGACCAGAGACGCCATTGGAATCAGACCGGAATTGGAGACGTCTCCGAGGGGCCGAAAGGAGGGTTCCCCTGACAGGCGCGCGATCCTAGGAGAAGTCCTTGCACCGCCCGACTCGCAGTCTGACACCCATCTAAACAACCTCATTATTATATTAAATTTTCAGTTACTTTTCTGTCAATAGAAATTTGTAGTACACCTCAAGTACAATATCTCATATATCAATCATATGTCTAGGTTAAACTTCAAAATTTCCATATAAGGAAATTTTATCACAATCAAAAGACTGTAAGTATTATAATAAGAAGAGAGTTTTATAGTAGTCACCTCTAGCTGGTCCAATGCCTAATGGTCGTTTACTTTAATTACTTATGCTATGGACTCGGAGCACGAGCATACATATCTGAAATAGGATTCCTCCCAGTTGTTCAGTACAATGTTCGTTTCAGCAGAAGCAAGATGTTAGGTATGTAGAATTGACCACAGGGTTACATGCTCGTATGGTGCAATGCACCTAGTCACCACCAAAATGTGACAACGGATATTGCTCCAGCAGTACTTATTTAAATTCTTAGTGCTCTAGCCAAAAGAGACCTTTTAGGATATAGAATAGATTGGCTAGAGGGATAGTCAAAATATTCAAAATTGACTGAGAAATATATTTTGTCACTGCCAGTTCCGCCATTGCTTATGTAATCACGTGAAAATCGCCAGAAAAAAATAGGAAAAAATGGGGGGAAAATTATTTGGCCAATTTATACTATATACAGGTGACAGGAATAATATTCAAGTATCCATACCCTCTGCCAGATACTCCGGAATGCGCTAATGAGACTTGTACTTCCGGCTGGAAAATTCCTTAACTTTGGCTTGTGCATCCTTGGCACCAGGGCCTTGGCTGTATGCATCTCAGTGCCTCATGGTTATCCACGGCCCATCTTTCAAAGCCTTTGGTGGTTGTAGACAGTGTAGAAGTTTGTATTTTGCAATAGTATATACACAATGCACAACTTTTCTGGCAGTTCTGCCGCTCACATGATCTGATTATATAGTGTTATATAAGCTGTCCACATTTGGTGGTGACTAGGTGCATTGCACCATAATGTGCATGTGTATGTATATCGCCATATTTTCAAAAGAAATCAAACTCTTTGTCTTTCTGATACCCATCCATAGCCTCGATTTCAGAGAGTGTTGGCGATGGGTTACTGGAAGCAGAACCTGCAGCAGACCCGCCACCACGCAGATACTCTGGTGTTGAGACATCAGGGAACGTAGGGGCGGGCACATGTGGTGGGGTGTCTTCCTTCGTGAGGTCAATAGTCTTCTTGTTTACGAGGTGCGATGAACGACGGATTGATGATTCAGCTGCGATAAGGCTCAGACATAGGTAAGTAGGCCCAGGGGCGGTAGAGGGAACACACTTTTTGCATCCTTCTTGACTGGAAGATCTGCTTCATCGTCGCTGGGCAATCCACACTTGGCAAGGCGAGGGGTCAAGATGGTAGAGCTCCCATCACTCTCATTGGCTGAGTCGTTGCCCTGGTCGTTGTCGTCGGAGTTGTTGTTCTCATCACTGTACTCATCCAAGTCATCTACTGTCTATTTCAAGAACAATTTAGATATTGAGAACACGGGAACACACCAGCTTTGGATATATTTGCGCTCATCATCTTGGCCACCTCTAGGGAATGGCACGGGTATACCCACGGGTATCCGAGGGCCTACCCGTACCCTTACCCGCACAGCCACAGTACCCATACCCGCGGGTACGGGTATGGGTTTACCCACGGGTGGCGGGGGGAGTCAAGAAGGCATGGTGCCGAGACTGTGATTAGTGTCCAAAGTACGCCAGAAATGTGCGGTAAAAATGGAATACAAATCCAGACTCAAACGGAGAACCTCTTGACCACCAACAACGAGGGAAACCAGCTGAGTCAGGAAGCGACGGGTAAGGGCTGCACTGACCCGTACCCGTACCCGCACGGGTAAAACCCGCGTACCCGCGCGGGTATGGCCTACCCGTGCCATTGCCTAGCCACCTCAGGGTCAACCCATTGCTCAAGGTAAGCAGATGGAATAGGATCACAAGATGCTATGGATTTATTAGCCAATTGAAACAAGAAAAGAAAATGCAAATCAAGGAAAATGTGGTGGCTTTTCCAGCCTTGAGTCGGATTGCCTCTTGCAAACTCGAGATCTCCACCAGAAGGTCGACGAACAGGAAACATCTGCAAGTTCCGTTGGGAAACAGATAGAAGAACCCAGGCCAGTGTGTCATTCCTCGCATCACGCTGAAGGTGGTTGAGATAGGTGAGAGGAAGAGTCAAGAGTCTGGTCAACAGCTCAACATCATCATCATGGTCAGCTGAACAGTCAATGATAATCCCTTTTGTACCAACCACCACAAGCCCATACAGGACAGCCAGTTGAGTATTGGCAGCACTACATATACCATCATTGGACGTGGCTTGGAGCAGCACCTCGTAGAGCGTCAACGTCTGGCATTATTGGTGCCAGAAATGCCGAAGGACCCAAATTGGACTTGCACGACCCATCAGAAATGCCTTTCAGCCTGGCAGCACGTATGGTGAAGATCACACTGCAGTTGCTCAACCCCGAAAAGCCATTGGACGTTGGAGCCATTCCAAATGCACTCAAGAAGCTGGTGGACTCAGACTTGTCGGCTGTCTGTCTCAGCGACATGATTCAAGGGATGGAGTCTCAAAGTCTTCCCAGCAGAAGAGAGAATTATCCAGGGTGTTGTTTGTGGGATCACAGTATGGTTTAATAGTCCAGAAATGACAATGGAGAAGCGGTAAAAGAGGGAATGCATTCTATATAATATGAACATAAAACTGTAGAGTGAATTTTAGCTGCTGGTGACTCAAAACAAGAGGGACGCACTATGTAGGCTTTTACTCTAAGCATCTACCCCTAATCTACTTGGTGAGAGTCTGACAGATGACAGTCTTCGGTAGGATATGCTGCGAAGAGAGTTGGAAAGCTAAGTCGCTGGCAGAAACGCCACAGAAGATAGCCACAACATCTCGGGGCAACGGTAACACTCGCTCTGTGCTTCCGATTCACCCTAACACGGGCGCCAGCGAGCTGGAAGGTGGAGGATGGAAAGGACAGGAATGTGTGGCACTTGATTACATCATCTCAGATTTCAATCTTCGGACGTGGCTATTTCGAACTCTCTGTCGAAGTGCTCAAATTTCGAACGACAACAGGCAAACTCGATCAATTCTCCCAAAACTTATGTGTAGGGAATTTATGTGCACTTTGAACAGCATAATATCTGTGCTGTTTTACTATTATATTTGACTGTTAAAAGCCTTGGTTAACCTCAATGTCATCTTTTTGCAGCTCTAAGACTTTCAGGACCTGTAACTAAGATGTTATTATGGTCCCTAGCATATGACAGAACTATACTAGATAGTTAATAACTATCATAATTGTGATATATAAAATAATATTTTAAAACAATATATTATCTACTATATACTCAATATATTGGGTTATAACTCAATACTATCCCTATCCCAATACAATACAGCCTTGGAGTGTATATGGATAGTAATTAGTTGGAGCCTTAAACTGTAGATCAGGCTGCCAAAAATGCGGCCCAGCCGTCCCAACTACATCGCTTTCGATGAGAAATGGAAAGAGAGAATATAGCAGACGACATACTCGTATGAGATGGGGAGGTTTTCTTGACGGCGCATGGCCGCTGGCTCTTGCGAGACTGCAGCAGCAGGTTAGCGACCCACGGAACAGATGAAAAACTATGCTCACAAAGGTGATCGTTCTCCGCCGGCATGATACCCAAAAAATCATCGTGATCCTTGGTCGAAGGGGCTGACTGCGATTGTGGCAGAAGCCACGGGTCTATCGCCAACTCCTGCCGTTGGGGCGCCGGTGCGGAATCGAACGGCCAAGACGTATACACGGGGAGGCTTCCCAGCTCCCCAGTGCGGATCGGCAGCGAAAAGAGATGTTCAGTCGCCTGCAACGATTGCTGCAGCGCCTCGAGTTGCTCGTCGATGGACGGTTCCGACGTCGGCGGGGACGGCAGCCCCTGGAGCGACGACGGCACGTCTTCCTCCCCCCTGGGGCGCTTCATCTTCGATTGACCCCGGCTCGTTTCCGATGTATGTCGCCCGATATTGAGGACAGCATTGAGGATGTCGCAGTACCGGCCAGCGATGCGCCAACTGCGTCTCCGGGTTATCGTTGTTCCATGTCGATTTTAACAAGGACATACCGCCGTTCATAGAGACGCAGAACATGGAGACAGCCGCGGACATCCACAGTCGCGCGATTGAAGTCTTCCGGAGAAGCGTCGCCGACGACGGACCAGACATGCACCAGAAGCACAATTGCCGCGTCGAACAGGGCCGACTGCATGAAAAGAATGAGACGAGGCAGGCCGTAGCGGAATGCACTGACGACCACATATGGAGTATAAAGAAGTCCGCGTCCTCCTCTGGATTGAGTGTTGAGAACATGGCCAATGGAGCGAGCGGCATTAGCACAGATAGCCATGGACGGGAAAGTGGGCTGAAAAGTATGGATGAGCGTTGGAGAACACCATCGAAAGAGAACGTCATTATACGCGCATTTGCTGGTGAAGGATTGCCTGGGGTCGGAAGGAATGATCTGTGAATCAAGAGCTGGGCTGACAGAGATGTAACGTCAATTTTGTCGACGGAATGCATATGGAAGTGCCTACCGTGATAGTATGTAACATATCTGGAAGAATATTAAATCATTGACCGCTAGCGGGCTGCTACGTACAGCAATGCAGATTGGTCCAGCAATATCTAACTGAGGTCATTATCGGAGTTTTCCTTTGCGGTCAAGATGAGGATGCTACTGACAGGAATGTCTTGACGCGGATCCCATTTAACTAGAAGAGGCTTAATAGCTGTTTGATTTATGATTTGCCATGAACTAGCTCACGATGTTGAGGTATTTCGTCAAGCCATTGATTGAGTGCGGAGCTTCAAAAACTGTTCAGGTGACAATATGATCTGTTTAGGCACGCACTCGAGGTCAACGATGTCGCTGTCTACAGCTTTAGGTCCTCTACTGTTATGCTAGAAGTTGTGTAAGAATGTCCTGCTCAATGAGGACGAGGAGGAGCACAGACCACGACCCGACCAATGCGCTCAAGTAAAGGCATCAGTCGAAATTGCATCGTATAGAAGGCGTGGATGGAGTTAGATTGGTCGGTAACTGCCTCCCGAACGGTCCAGTACTTGTAGTCGCGAACGGCGGGGAGATTAACGGTGCACCTGTAATACAGTTGAAAGAAACTCGACCCGCAGACTGACAAATGGCCTACTCGCTAGTGTTGGTTATACCCGGTCGCCCTTTAATAGCGGTGGTCAGCGCATCCCAGAAAATGAGTGCCCAAAATGTTCTGCGATAAAGCTCGCCCTCAAGCGGGGCCATGCGTTCGTATGTACTTTCGAGATGGAGTCCGAGCCCTTGACCGAAGCGAATGCCGAGGCCTATAGTAAGCCAGCATCCGTCTGGTTGGGAGGTGGAGGTAATATAGAGCGTGGATAACTGGAGTACAGTTAGTTTAACAACTGCTGGTCGGACAACAAAACTGACCGCGAATAGTTGCAGCTGACAGAGATGATCTTGGTCGGCGATTCTAATACATTCTGGTTCGAGTTGCCTGAACCACTTCCAGCCAGCGCTATGTTCCCGCTCGTCGTCGATGAACACTCTTGGATCGTTCGAGTATCGGCTAGCTGTTGCACAGACCGCAAGAACAACGGCACCAAACCATCGATTGGTAAAATGAAGGCCTTCCGCCATCGATTGACGGAATGTCGGTGGGTGGAGGAAGTTCCATATCGGATTAATGAGGTCGAAGTAGATGCTGACAAGCGTTTCCATAAGCGCCTTGTCGGGGAACGTAAAGGGACCATCGTTTGCAGGCCGAATCTCCCACTGAGCCGAAGTGTCAATAGCGAATTCCTTCTCCTTGTGGACCACTACATACCGGAGAGGCGGTCCAGTAATCAGGACGTTGAAGGCCCACGATAAGAGTTTTCCCGTTTTCAGCGGTATGCTTGATTGCGGTCCTGGAAAAGGTTTGGCTGCTGGAATCGCCATAGCATCGGTCATTCGCTGGGTAGCCCGTCAACGGGTCGAGTGGTCGCATGGCAAGGGCGGTATCGTCATACTTGACACTGATGGCCCCATTTTCCGGCTGAGGAGACTGCGAGGAGCGCGCCGAAGTACTAGACTGCGAGGCCAACGCCTGTTCAAGACTGCGCGCGTAGTTGCCTACTTCACGGAGGAGCCTTTGACACGTCGACAAGTCGTTTGGGGGTTCGTACGAGCCTGTAGCAATCTTCGCGACCTCAGCTTGCGCAGATTTATTGAGCTCTGCAGCGGCCGATGCAGTTTCCTCCGCCTAAGGAAAGAAAGTTTCGTGAGTTCTTGCCAGTGGTTCTGCACGTTCTGACATCGCAAAATCATGCGCACCTTTGCGCGGGTGTTGATACACGGAATGGCCGCATTTATGCAGTTGGTACACCGGCCATGAGGCATCTCAGCGCTGTTGCCTACAGGTAGACGTATGACTTCCGGAGATTCGTGGTCGAACTTGAACTCACATTTGACTGGCTTCATGCATTAGTCGGTGAGCAGAGAAGTACTTCTACTAGGACGAACCTTTCTTCCGTCGGCATGCATCGCAACTACCGTGGAGGCGCCTACGCTTTCCGTTCCACTCATTCTCGTTGTTCGACATGGAGGACAAGAAGAAGAAATCACTATCAACTTGGCACTCTTGTGACATCATCACGATGACATGCCCGCGATGACATACCTATCCATTTCCCTCTTCGAAGTCCAAAATTTCGACTTCTGGGCCTCTCATACGACAAACTTATCAATATTTTAAAAGTCCTCCTTTCCAGTACGCTTGCTCAACTCGCCTTGACCGACACAAACTGCGCATTCCTCAACCTCTCCTTCGCCTCCTTTAGAAACGGCGCTGTGATCCTCTCCTTCTCGTCGCTCTTCATATGAGCAAACTCGGAGCGCTGCCATCCAACGAGCAAATTGAAACTGACTTCGATAAGCTTCGGAAAGGCCGCCAGCCATGGTAATATGCGCTGCCCGGCCTCAACTGACGCGAGAGTAAGCCGAATATCCTGCACGCAGACCAAATCATGCGCAACTTGGATGAACGCAGCGGTGTCTGCCCAGGGGACAACTGATTTAAATGCGGATAGTGACCACCGGCCAGCGGCAGCCTTGCCCGATGCGAGGGAAAGATTGAGCTCGATTCCACGCTGGGTTACCACTGTGCGTCGGGAAAGCTGTTTCAGGTCGTGGAGAAGCGGCTCTACATCAGCGACGGTGTCTTCAAAGTGGAATCCGACGGTCCGTAATCGCGGGGAGAGAGCCAGACCAGCGACAAGGCCGCCCGACAGCACTTTCCCTTCGGAATGGGTGTGTATTGCGAGGAGTCCGGGGTGGCTGAGAGTGATTGGTAACGCAGGCGGCTGTTTGGCGGTATATTCTACTCTCGTAAGACACGGGTGACGGTCGAGCAGACTCCGAATGGCGTTCGGGTCAACTTTGCTAATGGATATGTCGAGTCTTCTCAGCTCTGGAAGCTCTACATTGGCGAGGAAAGTGTCCAAGTATGGCCGCAGAGAAGGCTCGAGCTCGCTTGGCAACGTGAGTTCGCCAATGGAGGCGGCGTTGAACACGAGCAGAGTACATGGCTTTCCTGCGCTTGTCCGTATCGCTTGGAAGTCGACCGCGTGGATGTTCCTCAGTTGGGCAACTCGGACCCGGGTTCCGTCGTGGCAGACGGTAGTCGTATGCCAGGTCGAATGGGCTGCCGAATCATCCGAGCTGAACACGCTCTGTGGCGGCGGCGGGTTGAGACGCATATTGGCCAAGTCCCAGCGCGCGATATCCCGCGGTCGACACGTGAAGAAGGCGTGGAGGTAGTAGACAATTACTGGCCCGTCGACATTTCTTGCGGCCTGGGAGAGAACGCGACAAAGCACTTTCATTGACGCGGAATCGCGATTTATTTGCCATTCTTTCTTGTCAAACACGATCTTCAGTGTGCGAAGCTGCCTCGCATTGGCCAGCACCATCTGTAACGCAACCAAACTCGCTGACTGCATCGATGCCCCTCCTTTAGGAAAGTCGACCGTTAAGTGTTCCATTCCAAGCTCGCGGTAATGAGCTAATCCACGCATGAGATAGCTTTCTGGGGAGATTCGGAACAGCTCGTCAAACTTGAGGTTGTTCCGCGTCATATAGTGGATAATGCATAGCTCGTTCAGCCCAAGCGAGACCTCAGCGAATGTCTCCAGCTCCCCATCGGGCAGGTCTTGGATCACTGCCTCCCATAGTTCAACGGGTAGGATTTCGAGGAGTGGACGAGAAGACATGAGGGCAAAAAGTAGGAAAGACGCGAGCGCCGCACATCATGTTGGCGGAAGACAGACGAGTTTGACCGTGACGACAACCGATGATCAGCCCGCATCTACTTGGCATCGACGCACGTTCTCAAAGACAATGTCGCTAGGAATCAAGCAAGTACGATATAACTGTATTACACTACTGCGAAAGTTGTTTTATCTTCAGAACAATGGCTGTCAAGTTGATGAGCACCAGCAAGAATCCCGCGACAAACAATCCTCTGACCTTGTGGGTCAAGCCCTTGATGCGGAATCTGCTCCCAAAGCCCACCCGCGCCTGCAAGACCTTAGTTATTGCACCTTGATTCGGAATTCTACAAACCCTCGCGTGTGGTGCCCATATACCCGTACCTGGGCTTCAACTGCCTCTCCAGCAGCCAAGTGCCCATTTTAGAGCCAAGCTAGCGCGGAGGTGAGCTGCAGCAAAGAATGCATTACACATTTTGCCTACCCCAGTCTTCTGGTTGAGCGACTCGACCACCAACACGAACCCAGTACTCCCAATCTTGCGCAACGTTTCTTCATCGACAAGATTCAGCGTGGGTTTATTGACCAGCCCGACATCCAAGCCGGTTTCGCGACACCGCAGGACGGCGTCCCAGGACCGGTAAAGCATGTCGCCGAAAGAGACAACATATCCGTCCTTGCCCTCCACAATAATCTCGTCTTTGCCGGGTACGAACTCGTATCCGCTATTGGGATCGAAGAACCGTGATTTCCCGTCAGAGGAAAGGATGAACGGAAGCTTGGAGCGTGTTGAAAATACGACTCGTAATCCACGCTCGAAAAACACGCGTTGGACGACAGCGACCATTTGAAGCGGGTCGGCAGGGAAGTAAAGGGAAGTGTTGGTGTCCGAAAGACCATTGTCCGCGAAAAAGTTGTTGATACCAAAATGGCAGGTGTTATCGGCCTTGAAAACGGAAAGAAGTTAGACGAGGGCCATAAGATCAAGACAATGACACACAATCTGGGCAAGTGCTTAGGAATTGGCAACCCCAAGTTATGAACATCACATACCTCATCGACACCGGAATGGGAGAAATGGCAAAGCACATTGCAATTGTTCAATCTCGCCATCGTCATCTCAGAAACGACCATCTCGAGGAATGCGCTAAAGGTCGAAAAGACCCCAAATTTGTCAGGGTCGAAGCCGAAGCCGGCGGCGGCGGAGAAATTGCCTCGTTCCATTATGCCAGAGGAAACAAAGACTTCGGGGTGCTTCTCATGGATAGCCTTCAAGCCAGTCGAGCCCTCAAGGTCACCTAACAATCAAGTCAATTCAACGAAAGAAGAGCAAGAAAGGCATACTATCAATAACCATAACCTTGTCTTGTGCCTCCTTTTTGCTCATGCCATCCAAAACGAGGTTTACAGCCTCTCCGAACTTAACACGATTGGCGTCGCGCTCTTTCGTGGAACCAATATGAAGATAGGCATGATCCTCCGCTTTCATGCCCTCGTAGAGACTAGTGAAGTCGGGGTAGCCTCGCGCCTGAAGGTATTTGACGGCAGATTTGGCCGGAATAACATCATGGGCCTTGATTTGACCTTGGATATCTTCAATCCCAGGAGCCATAACACGCTTCGAGACCACTGAAAGAAACATGAGAAGTTTCGAAAGAGGACGAATCCGGACAGCTCGTACCTGCAGCAGGGCCATTATGCAACACCACCGTCCGTATGGCCTCCCAAAGGTCATCGATATCTTCGCCGTCGGCGGTGACGACTTTGAGACCATGCCCAGCAAGTGTACTTTCCACTTTAAAGCCCTTGAGATATTCTGACGGGTGGCCGGCAATGGTGACGTCGTTGTCGTCAATGAGGAGCTTGACATTAAGGTTCTTTGCGACCGCTAGTCTTGCTGCTTCCGCATCGTTTCCCTCTTGCTGGGAGCCATCTGAGCCAAGACAAAAGACAGCTTTGTCACGGTTCGCGAAAGCTACACCATTGACCAGCGGCCTGCAGGTGAAAAGTTAGCCCAATGCAACTTATGTGTGAAGGCTGGCGCACCACATATGCCCTAATCTACCAGATGAGAATTTCACTCCCGGTGTGAGGCCCAGCTCAGGATGGCCGGGCAATTTTGAGTTTGCTTTGCGGTAATTGAGGAGATGCTCAGCAGGAAGGTGACCTTCCAGAGCAGCAAGCATATATTGTGTGGCAACTCGATGGCCTGTGCTTCGCATTAGAGCAGCAGAAAAGGAGGGTAGGAGCACTCACCAGCTTCGTCAAATATGATAGGCACGTATTTCTCTGGGCTGCCCTCAAAAAGGGCAAGCAGGATGCATACTTCGGGTACAGTATCATAGGCTCCTCCGGTATGACCACTGACACCGCGAGCTGCTCCAGAGGCGGTGAACAGCACGATGGCGTCGCGCAACAACTGAATGTTGGCAAGGAGTTGCGTTTTTTGCTCAGACCCTAGTTTGGCAATGTTTGGGTCAAGCTTGAATCTAACATGCGTTGGACTGAAAGTCAGACACGGAATGTTCGACGCACTTTTTAAACTTCGAAAGGTCTATTGGGAAGGCCATGGTCGTAGATGGAGAGGATGAAGTCCCCACTGACTTTAGTTATGTGGAACAATGACGCATGCCTGACGATGCGCTATTTCTTGATTCTCCAACTTCCCCAACTATGAGCCGAGGATGACCGTTGCATAACTTTAGGTGGCTTTTTGTAGTCGACGTGATGGTCAAGGTTGGTAGGAGACTGTGCATGCGTGGCTAACGGTGTGCATGCGTAACGGTGTGACCGCCACGATCACGAGACGATACTCATTTTTTCAGCTGTGGCAGCTCTGCCAATGGAGGCACAAATTCGTGGTAATATCACAGTACCCAAGGGATGGTTCGTAGTTCACACTGAAGTCAAAGCTCGAACTTCTCTCCAATGATGCCCTCCGTCAACTTCCAGACCTTCTCTCGGTTCGCCTAGTCAGGTTTGCTCAATAACTGCTGCAACTACGGAGAAATGCTTACAGGATTAACACAATTTGGGGCTCGTTGATCATTTGCTTCGACACAGTCAACAAGGTAAGACCCCGACTTGTCTATCAATTCGGAGTCCATCAGCAAGTAACCAAACAGCTTGAAGCTCACCATCCAGACGAGGATCAAATGCCGCAACTATCGTCCTGAGTGGAGTTAATGGGAGTGAATTAAATTGAGATCTACACACGTTGCTGCTCCCTGTGGAATGGTCTTCCACTTTTTATAGTCTGGATTCGGCTGCCCGTCCTCCTTTAAGGCACCAATCGCCTTCATTGTCGGGACAACCTCCGCCTGCATCATCGCGTTCGTGAAAATGACTGTAAGGATATCATCATAGCTCTCCGTATTGAGTGAAAACGAGCACGTACGTCCCGGATGGAGACTGTAAACGCGCAGTTTTCCGTCTGCACGCTTTGCCAATTCGCCCGCAGTCATCACAACAGCCTGTTTCGCCTCATGGTAGCGCAGAAACAAATTCTTTTCCGACTCTGACCCAGGCACAGGCTTGCGAAGGCCCGCAAGGTCAATACCGGGACCCAGAGCATGGACCTCCGAGGCAACATATACTACGCGGGGAGTCCAATCCGCGGAGGCTGATCGGAGCAACTTTGCGAGGAGTAATTTGGTGAGGAGGAATGGAGCAAAGTGGTCCACCGCGAGTTGGATCTCAATGTCGTCTTTAGTGATAGTGGTCGTTCCATTCGTATGTGCAGCGTTGTGAATAAGAACCTGCAAGTTGTTGGCATCAACATCAATTCCTGCGATCCCAAGTATTCACATACGTGAAGGGGTTCAGGCTGCTCGTTAAGGAGCGCAGCAGCGTTCCGCACTGCATCCAACGAAGAAAGATCGAGCTGTATATGCCGGATGACGGCAGTCGGAGCCTCTTTCTTGAGGGTTTCCGCGGATAGTTGTAACCTTGGGTGCTATAAGCACTCACAAAGATCCAAGAAAGAAACAAACCTGTCCGCGTTATACCCCGTAATCGTAATTATCGCCGCATGTTTCGCTATAGCTCGAGCCGCTTCAAATCCAATAGTATTGAGGGTTGTCCCGGTTATGAGAACTAGTCGGAGGCATGAGCACTGCTGGTCAGGGTCAGTGGAGTAGCACTACCATTTTTGCCCGAGATTGTGGCAGAAAGTGCGTCGACAACCTCGTCAGAGGTGGTGGAGAATCCGAAAGATGGAAGAGACATGAGAATAGCTGACGCCTATACAGAAGAGCGAGGTCAATTTATAGTCAGCGGAATAGGGGCGATACTAACGGTTGCTCCTCCACATGACGAACCGCGGCCAATGGTTTTGTCTTGTCTTGAAAATGTAGCGAGTAGCGATCTCCGTGATTCGCCAGGAAAATGGGCGAACCCCGCTAGATTCGGGATTTACGGGCAAGTTCGTTGCTTCGGCCCAACACTCTCGGGAAGTGCAGCATACCGACATCAGTTGGACATCAGGATAGTACATCGTATATGTTGTGGATTTCGCTCTTGTGCATGACTGGAAAGAAAGACCACTGAACGACCGACTGTGACGTCGCGTGATACTTCTTTCCATCACATCATGCATCCAGCACTCGAGGCCCGTTTCAAAAACGAATTCCCCACCCTCTTTCGTGACTCTCGCGTCCGATGCTACATTGAAAATGGCTGGGAAGGGCTTCTTCGTATCTTGTGCTTAACCCTCACCCAGCCTGATGAAACACCCTCCGACTCCGAGTTTGAATCGCGGACAATCCTTATTCAGGTCAAGCAACGCTACGGCTGCTTACGGGCATACATCAGCAGTACCGCGGCACGGCAAAGGATAAAGTTCCACGTCGAACGAGAATCTTATCTGGTTTGCGAGAGGTGTGGGGAAGATGGACGGCTGGCGACGGTCGAGGGGTGGATCTCGACGGTGTGTCAAGAATGCGCAGACATGATCCGAGCAGATGGCAAGGAGTGGCGCTGGCTTGAAGTGGGGTTTGAAGACGAAAGCGACGAGGATGAATCATAGGTTTATCTTCACAAAGCCCACTCAAATTCTTATTTATCACAGGACGATTCTGGTACGATTGCTAGTAGATGGTCCAGCTTCCGGAAGGGAGAAAAACACGATTATTATGAACTGTGGTTGCAACCTGTTTCACTATATCACGCCCGGAGTGTAGGAAAGTTGATCTTAGGCAAGCAACGCGCGCAACCCCACATCTTGCGCAAACTCCTTGAAAGTATGAAGGCGAAGACCTTCGCTGTCTACAGGAGATCCTCCAGCATAAACTGCGTCCAAACGAGGCTCAGTTCTCAAGCTCACAAAGCGAACAACTACTTACACCCAAACTCGTCGGCAAACGCCAAGCTCTCAGCCAAGCTGCTTGCAAAGTGTTGTGGCACTCCTGCATCATTGAGCCGTTGCTCGACGTCTTCCGTCGAGATCTGCTTGTACGTGACCTTCTTTCCAGTGACTGGGATTCTCATAATGAGTAAAGGAAGCCAGAAAATATGTACATGCCTTCAGCAACTGCGTCAGCAATTTCTTCCGGAGTCAGAGCCTCGCTTGCTGTGTTAACTTCCCGACCGTTAGGGAAAACGTCTGCCTCGATGACCTGTTTGACGACAAATTGGCCGTAGTCTCTCTCAACGTCGATAAAAGGAAGCTTCGTCGTCTTTCGCACATTCCACCGAATAATGAGCTCGTCTGGATTGTCAGGATTTTGCTCGATCATGCGAATGGGGCCGGAAGTCTTGGCCATTTGCTGCATGTAGAAGGCCGCTGGGACGATGGCAAAGCCGACTGGAAGAGTTTCTGTCGTGGAGAGGCCGTAAGCTGAGACCGCAGCTTTGCCTTCGAAATGGACCATGCGGGTGTATTTGCCATTGCTTGCGGCGCCAGGGGAAAGGAGGCCGGACCAAATGATACCGCGCATAGTAGAGACGGACTTCGCAGCATCGATGAGCAGTTTTCCTTCAGCGAGTTCCTGTTGATTTGGTCGACAAGCATTGGAGGGCAGCCCAGTGTGAATCACTTACGCGTTCCATACTCATGTGCTCAGAGAAGTTTGTCACCAACTGCTTTGCAGATCAGCCAGAAATGTCAAGAGAAATGGGATTTGTCGTTGCGTACGAACGCATAGTCCGCGCCATCGAAGGCTCGGCGGGCATCCTCCTCCTTGCCAAGGACCAGGTTGACCTGGACCAATTCGACTCCTTGTACTTGGAGCGCAACAGCGGCGGGCTTGCGAGGATCCCGAGCAAGCCCGCGGATTCTGTATGGCCTAGTGGACGCAACCAGTGCTGCGATCACGGAGCCACCTTGTAACCCCGTCGCGCCAACTACCGCGACAAGAGGTGCAGAATACGAAGATGTGGCTGTCATCGGCCCCGGTAGTGTTGCTGGTTCTCGAATTTTCTCGTCTTATGTCTGCCATGGGTTAGCTGACCAAGGTGATGCTTTCTAAGCGATTCGGAGAATTTGTCTCCGAACATTTGTCCGCTACAATTAAGTTATAACGCTTCAAAGCGGAAGAGAAAATGAGATATACAATATATCTTCTGATTCTTCTCTACAGTATAGACAATGTTCGATTTTACATTAAATTCAGGTTTTACTCCTAGTGTTAATTTTAAATTTATCATTCATCTCTCAACGCAACAAAACACTTGGCCCCTCCGTTGAACGGCAGCTCGAGGTCCCTCATGCTGGCCCGCACAAGCCGCTCCGCGCGACACATCTTCATACGCCTTACCACGCCCCATGAGAGCTGTTCCAAGACAATGGACTGGACGGGGTGGTGCTTCGGCGCCAACGCGCCGTCCTTGTCGATAGCATGTCCTTTGCACAGGGCGTAGAACTGGATTATCACGAGGCTGGCGAGGGTGGGCCCGTGGAGCACCGCCTTGAGGCGCGTGTAGTCAGGGAGCACGGGAATGTCGCGCTCTTCGAGGTAAAGGTAGGGCATGAGGAGGATCAGCTTTGTGAGAGTATTTCCGCGCGGGAGGCATTCGAGGAGGGTGGGGAGGGTGTGCTGAAAGTGACTGGCCATCATGGCTAGGTATTCGCGCATATCAAGGTCGTGATGATCTCGCTTGTCCGGATTGAAGCACGGGCAGGGACTTGCTTCTGGAACGGTGTCAAAGCCGGCCGCGGTCCAATGCGTTGTCTCAATCACTCACTGTGGGATGCAAACTTGATGTGTAGACTGGCGAGTATTGCTGCATTATGGCCAATGAACTGCGCCACCTGGTCGGCACGCTTGGGGGCAACTTCTTCACAAAGGTGGATTGTGACTTCCTTTACGATTGGCGCACTCTTGTCCCAAGCGAGCCAATCGAGAAATGGCTCGTCCTCAGGGGCATGGGCGTCGCCGGCGAGGTTAAACTCGAGTGATTCGAGCGCAATGCACGTCCCGTGGAGCAGACAGAACTGGCCTGTCTCTTTAGCGACCCCAGTCCACTCGATTCTGCCCAGCACGAGATGCTTGATCGACCGCATCTTCTGGAGCAACAGCGTGAAGTGCAGGAAGCGGGGGAAACTCATTGCGTGGAGGCCAAGCCGCGTGACTTGCTGCAGGCGGGGGAAGTCCGTGTACGAGCAATGGTTGTATGGCAGATTCAATCGCAGCTCCGTCAGGCCAGCGAGACCCGGTAGTGCCGCCAAAATTTCTTGTAGTTTTTTCCTGTACCGCACAGTATATGTAATGTTTAGCCCGCTCAGATGCACTCTGAGCGTGTTGTGCGGCGACTGGAGGTATTCCAAGAAGCGCTCGAGATCATTGTCGTCACAGACAGAAAGAGGGGCTTCATACAGTCGGTGGCGGGTTGCAGGCAGCCATGCGCGACATACGAGGCCACAGCGGCGCAGGTCGTCATTGTCTACCAGAAGGTCCAGAATGGCGTCCCACAGCTCAGGTGGAAGGGTCGGCTGCATGGATGAAGGCGTCGAGTTCGGGATGAACCAGGTAACAGTGTGACTGTGTGACGCCGACACCTTCCACAATAACCGCGATGGCCACCACGACCCGCCCCATTGTCTTCATGGACATCAACATCGGCGAAACGCCTGCGGGCCGCATTAAGATGGAGCTGTTCAGCGACATCGTGCCCAAGTCAGCCGATCCCCTCAATGAGCACCTGGTGTTCTGACTCGCTTCGGTAGGACAGCAGAAAACTTCCGCCAGCTGTGTACGGGTGAATACCGGTGCGTTTGGCGGGCTTGCGGCGACGGAGCGCTTACTCAGCCAGCCGCGAAGGGTCAACTCGCGTCCGCAGGGATACAAGAACGCGACGTTTCATCGGTGAGTGGGCTTTTTGCGTGGAGTTTTCCTGCATGTTGCTGACTGGATTCAGGATGTACGTTCCCGTTACCTTTTTCTCTCGCTTCCAATTCTTATACTTGTGCCGCGTTAGAGTGCCCAAGTTCATGTGTCAAGGTGCGTGGTTATTTGCTTGCCCCAATCTAATCAGACCATGCCTTGTAGGCGGCGACTTCCTCAAAGGCGACGGCACAGGCAGTTTCTCAATATACGGGGACAAATTCCCAGTAAGCTCCTCCCTTCCCTTCCGCTACACAAACCCAATTCTCTCCAACACAGGATGAGAACTTTATCGAAAAGCACACCGACGCAGGGCTGCTGTCCATGGCCAATTCTGGGCCCAACACTAACGGGTGCCAGGTGCGTCCCCCAATGTCACGTCCCCCCATAGCTGACTCGGACGTGGACATAGTTCTTCATAACCACCGCAAAGTGCGACTTCCTCGACGGGAAGCACGTCGTGTTTGGGCGTGTCATCGAGGGCATGCTCACGCTGCGCAAGATGGAGGCCGTGCAGACGGGGCAGAACAGCCGTCCGAAGCTGGTGGTCAAAATTACCGGTATGTGCCTGATGCCCTAGATACGGTTTACGGAGACTGAGTGGTTGCGCAGAATGCGGGGAGATGTAGTGCAGTCATTTCCGGAGAAGCTGGATCTGTAGGGCTCAGCCAAATACACGATCAGCAAAAGATCACATGTATATGTATCTAAAAGCTTAGCATTGCTTTCACTGAGCTGAAGGGGGGACATGCTTATATCTCGACTACTTGAAATGCACTGAACCACACGAATGTTGCTTCCCTAAGCAGTCTCTGGCCTCAATTCGCACAAGTCCATGAATCTCATCAATTATTGCCCCAAGCTCGACGCGAGTGCAGTGCTACACGCAATACACAATCAAGTAAGCATATTTACCAAAAGCAGAAGGTCGCCTGCCATTTGGGGACATGTATTGTATGTGGTCCTCGAATAGGACATACCGAAAAGACCAGCCGATCTATCTTCACGGTTCGCCTACCACGGCCGATATTCCACAACGTCATGATCCCTCTGATCCAAAAGCTAAATGATTTGGCAGCGCGGCCCATGGTTTTTGCCTGTTATGCGGTCAGACATGACCAGATGGAGATGCGAGATGCAGTTCTTACCTTTCCCCCAGCTTATCGCCCTGCAATCGTTGTCGCCCTTCTGAGATCCGGGTCAGGGGCAAATGCAAAGAATGTTCTCTTCCGCGCGCCACCGGACTCCTGCTCCTGGTACTGGTTCGTGACGATGCTCATGTGCCTCCGCCTCGGTACTGTTTCGTCACGATTACTATCGTTTTCGGAGTCAGAATCATCAGAGTCGGATTGGTTGGCGAGGTCTGACGCCTCTTGCATCCTTCCTACAGCATATAGTAAGAAACGGGGAACACGCGGGCGGAGACACGCACGAGCAAGTTCCCTGTCCATGTGTTTGTCTCTGGTACTTCGCAAATCTGATGAGGGGAGAAGATGCCGGTGTAGCGACTCGCGGGGCACATCCTGCAGACCCACAGAAGGGGCTGGAGGGAGCTCGGACAACTGCTCCAATGCCCTTTGCCTGGCCAACCGGCTCATCAGTAAAAAAAATATGGCGGCGGACATATCTGTACCTGACACGAGGGAGCGACCCATCCCGCAGATTCAAGTCCTCCATGTTGCTAGGCAAGACCTCTAGCCGATAGCGCGGCCCAAACCACTCGAATGACTCGCAATGCGGCAACACGGGGTTCTCGTCAATAACCCCTTCCTCCCCAACGGCACAAGCAGTCTCGTAGGTCCACGCACGCGCGACATTCTTCACGGTATACCCCCCACCTCCAAGTAGCACGAGCGGGATGTTTTTTGCGCGCAACCATTTGACACAGTTTGCGTGGCCATGCATGCTCAGATTGAAGCAGCCCAGCTTGTCTCCGGCCAGCGAATCCGCGCCACATTGTAGGACAACTGTGCTGGGTTGATAAACATCGAGTATCTTGCCAACAACGGGCTCGAAAATACTCTGGAAGGCCGCGTCGCTGATTCCGTCATTGAGTGGGATATTGACCGCATATCTATGTCCTTTGCCACTTCCTCGATCCTCCTGGGCGCCGGTTCCGGGGAAGTAGTTACCGAACTTGTGGAAGCTGCAGGTAAGGACCCGGTCGGTTGTGTAGAATGCCTCCTCGACACCGTCACCATGGTGGCAGTCTATGTCGATGTATAGAACTCGGGGCATGGAGCGGAGGAGTTCGAGGATGCATAGGACGATGTCGTTGACGTAGCAAAACCCGGAGGCCTCGCTCTTCTTTGCGTGATGGAGACCGCCAGCCCAATTGATAGCGATGTCAGCGGCGCCGTCAGCAACACGTTGCGCAGCAGCTTCAAAGGGTCAGAGAGGAAGAAGAGGGAAGACTGGTCAGGCGCACCAATGGAGCCCCCAGCAGAGATCGAGCTGAATTCGAATAGACCTTCAAATGGAGGGTTGTCTTCTCCAACTAGAACTGCAAATGGGAGTTAACAATACTGGAGGCGGGCAAGCAGAAACGACGCACATCTCGTTCCGCCAAAACTAAGCTCTGCAAACGTCTCTGGGGTAACTTTACTGAGGAACTGAATGTATTCATCGGTATGGAATGCCGTGAGTGCCTCCGCCGACGTACGTTTCGGTTTCTGTTCCAGTGTAAGTGTTGAGTCTATAGTGTGGTTATCCACGCACCAGAACATGGAGCTTTCCCAGCAGGTCATACGCAGAGACAAGGTCATGGGTCATCTTGACGCGATGCGGTTTGAGGAATTGGTGTAGGCCAAATGTGTACGCTCCAACATCGGCTATGTGTTTCCATTTAGTCGTCGTACTATTGGGGGCAAACAGGGCTTACGATCGTAGTAATAGGCAACTCTTCGGTGAGACATGGGTGCTGGAAAGCAGTGAGGTAACACTGGTAACACTGTGACTCAGAGCCAGAAACTCAGCTCCAGTACATGTTAGAGTTACTAGAGGTTCAAACGTTCAAGTGCATTGCAAATTAAAAGGAGGAAAGATCATCTCACCACCGTGAATGAGCTTAGACCTGCTTAGACTTGGACTTGTTCAATCGTACTTATTTCCACGTGCGTGCGCTTTGGGCTCATCGTTGTGGTTCTTAAAATTGAATGATAATGCTATAGCATGTAGAAAGACCTAACACAACTACTAACATGCAATAGTGTCGCGACATGATCACTAACGTGGGTCCATCCGATGCCAGGTTTGGAAGTTAAAGATAGTGATAAATAGAATTTCGAATTGTTGTCCTGCACTCTATTGACCACCAAGCTGGTTGGATGACAACGCATCGTAAGTCGGGCAAAGCGTGCCCCAAGCATCAGGCTGGACAGAGTTGGCGATTGTGTCGGTATCTTCCGCGAAGACAATAGCAAGACCGCTATATCAGAGTTTAGACTCATTAAATGATAACGGCAATAACCATACACTTCAAGATGAAAGTCGATGTGGCAATGGAGGAACCAGGGCCCGCTTTAAAAGACGTCATAACTAATTGGACTGGTTGGGGAAGCGAACTGCGAGCTCACGCGTTATCTGTCTGGAAACGGATAGTGACATTATCGCTAAAGGAACATGAGCGAATATCGATCGACATGCGAAAAGACTTGCCTGGTCGAGGAGCCGGTCGTCACAGTATCTCTAAGAACGGGGTCTATGTAGTTGTAAGTTGAGTTCCCCGCGCTGCGGACGACCCAGAAGTTGTGCTGAATCAAATGAGAACAGGTGGACGATAGTGAAGACGACGAACACCATGCAAGTGGAAAGGATGCGGAGCGCCAACAGTCCCACCAGGAATGGATACTTCGATGACGGAATTGGGTGGAAGAGTGCTGTATGGAATCAACCAATGGCAAATTCGATGAAAGGAGAAATTGCGCACAAAACGCTGCCCACAGGGAGCAAGTCAGCGGCAGTATGAGCCCCACTCAAGATCTGAAGTAACACTGGCGCTGTCGGGGGAACAAACTGGGCTCCATTGACCGTGAAGTTGGCACCATTAAAACCGATAACAAGATTGAAGTTGGCATCGGCGCCGCCAACGACAGAGGCTCCTGGAACGGGGGTAGCGATAAGTGGGTGGAGGTCGGTTTCCACAAGGGGAGTAGTTGAGCTGACTAGTGGTGTCACTGGGTCGACCGTCGCTGCTCCAGAGTAGCGCAGAATGGCCGAGTTGATGCCATTGTCAAAGCCGGTTGTACCACTGTTGGCTACGGTGCGTATCCAGTAATTGTCAACAGGCTGGTTGGCAGTGAGGACAAAAGAGTATCGTTGGCCAGCATATATTTGAATTGAGTCAACAGACAACGGCTAAAAGGTCAAGTATAAGCGAGCGAAACGGAGATGCAAATTTCCCGTAAAGTACCTGTGTGTTGACCCCATCCACCTCAATTATTGTCATTGTGTGGTTGTCGATGCTGAAGATAAAGTTTGGGTCTGAGCACGGATCAAATCATGAGCGCCGGTGACATAGATAAACTTAGTTTAAATACCGCAAGAAAGAGACGCAAGACGGAAACGGTATCGCGTGTTTTGCGTAACGGAGATGACGGCGAGTTGCGATGTCGGACCACCAGCAAAGCGCCCAAGGCCATTAATGAGTGTCGAATCAAGAGTGGGAGGAAGAGCAAGGGTGTGAGCGGGGGCGTGGTACCAGTCAGCGAGGGTAATAACAGTGGTGTCATCATCGACATCGTACAGACTTGCATGAGGGTCGTTGGGGTCATAGACTGAATGGAAGCCGGGCGTGAGATTTGCGGAGAAAGCAGCAGATATATTTGACCCACCGACCATAACCCCACGTAGGCCATCGCAGTACTGTGTTGATAGATGTGAATGATACCAATATGTTCCTAAAAGTATGTCCAGGTGAGCTGCAGCTTTGAGACAATGACCACACTGACCAGCCTGATTCGCTGTCGAAAACTCATACAAGAAGGAGTCGTTCTGGGCAATCGGACATTGTGTGACAAATGCAGGACCGTCAGCCCACGAGCTATTCAATTGGAAGCTATGTATGAATGAGTGCTTCAGAACGATCAGCAGAATCAACTTGACGCTTACAATCCATGCCAATGAATGGAGCTACTGAGTAGCATCGTTGCATCCGTGAGGGAGTCGATTACATTCAGTTGAAAGGTGTCGCCAACATTGGCTTTGATGATAGGTCCGGGTATGGTGCCGCCAGCGGTGACAGCCCTGAAAAACAGATGAGTAATATTCAAGACGGGAAAAGTGAGCATATGTTGGTAAGCTCAGCAGCTTACGAGCGGTTGAAGCCATCAGGGGCGACTTGAGCATTGACGAGGGTGAGGTCTGTGACAGGCCCAATTGCGGCGAATGCTGGAGCAGCAAGAACAAGGGCAAGAAATGAAGAGGTCAGCATCCGAAGGCAAGTAGAATAGAGGAAGGAAAAGAGGCCACTGCGCTTTTATAACGGTCTGGACTGGCATATTTGAGTGAATCTGAGATCTCACACTGTGGCAAATGCTACTGAATTCGACAACAATACAGCACAAGAGCCCGAGCGTCGGACGATAGAACGAGCAGGGTGACCTGATGCGGTCGCACGGAGAGTACTAGCTTGATCGCAGTCCTTGTCCGACTATCCGAATGCGACCGTGCGGAGCGGGGTGCCCTAAAAAAAGTGCATATAAGAACCAGTAGCGTTTGTAGTGCATATCACACACACACCATGTTCAAAACCGTTCTTGCTCTTGCTGCCCTTGTCTGCCTTGTTGTCGTATGTCCCCATTTCTTCACCTGAAGAATGCTTTACGATGAACAAACCATAGGCGCTACCAAATGGACAAGTCTTCACCGCGACACGTGAATATCAGACACTTACTGATGTGTAAGTGCATGATCCTTAAACCATGCTAGTGGCTGACCTCAGAACTTAAATCTCCCCTAGAGAGCCGTTCTTCGTGACAAAGACCACTACTATCACCTGGACGTGAGTTTATAAAACGCATTTTGACTTCGTCTCACCTCCGTAAAGTGCAAGCCCTAGCACCACTGTTGCTCACCCAACCGGCACCGTAGTTGACGACGCGTAGTGGATATACTTACTACCTATGCCACTCGGACTTGAATCGAGTAACGAATCATCGTGTTTGGTGACATCAGTGAAGTTGAATTCGGTTCTGGGTATATGTGGTTGACCGACCATGAGAGAACGGAAAGAATTCCAGTAGACTAGTCACACTACTGTGACAGTTGATGATTTGATGGGATACTGTGCTTCCCCGTGACTGTGCAATCTCCCCTTGACTGTGTAATCACAGTTGCCTGCTCACTGTCGCTCCAATCTACCTCCGGTACCATCCGGAAAACCTTCTTTAGCATATGTAGCATTGATATCCCAAATATTTTATATATCCGCGCTAAATTGCTGAACCGGTGCAGTGACCGACATCATGACTTGGGTAATATTTTCACCAAAACAACACATTTCGACTAATTGAAGTGTAGGGCTATATCAAAGTGACTTTGGGGGGGCCTAGAGACCCATATAGAAGGTCTAAACTCTTAGAATACTCTCTCATGAAATAATTGTAGCACAATGGACAGTTTGGGCCACTTGTGACACCGTGTCACATACGCATCAAATCTATCGGCAGGTCCAGATAAGACGGAGAGAGCAAGCTGTGAGGGATTTTTGTGCTGAATAGGACTCTATGTGATGGTATGGGTACATGTTGCACCTTGAGGACCAAGAAAGCACTCATTAGGACTGATATTGGGTGTTTTAGTAAAAATATTACCCAAGTTATGATGTCGGTCACTGCACCGGTTCAGCAATTTAGCGCGGATATATAAAATATTTGGTATATCAATGCTACATATGCTAAAGAAGGTTTTCCGGATGGTACCGGAGGTAGATTGGAGCGACAGTGAGCAGGCAACTGTGATTACACAGTCGAGGGGAGATTGCACAGTCACGGGGAAGCACAGTACGGTAAGTACTAAGTAGTTGACCGATGGCCCTCGACGCTCCGTCGGACCCGAAGAAGTGGTTTCGACGCAAGAAGCTGGGACTTAGAGTCTGCAGATAATATGTGATCCGAGTCAAACTGTCGAAGCACAGGCTGAATCCTGATGCATCCTCGAATTCGGAACCGAATTTTGGACGGACATGACTTCAACAATTTCACATCCTTTACGACTCGGACCTGGGCTAAGTTGGGGGATATGATAGATATGTGTGCCCATGGAATGGTTGCACCATGAAGAAGATTCTTTACTAGTTAGTATCCGCAGCTTCAGGCATCCAAATCGCCGCACCGCAACAGCTTGAAGGCTCACAGCCTGAGTGTTAGAGCTTGATAACGTTGAGCCAGGTTGATCGCGACTGCGGAGTACATATCAATACTGGACACTGTATTTACTTGCATCCCGGGCCTGAGAGCAGAATATACTATCATAGGGATAAACATGATCAATGATCATATCAGGCTGACAACTTGGTTGCCCATACCGACGCAAAAAAGACTCTAAGAACGGCCTCTAAAATGTTTTCCATTCCTTCAATCGAATGTTCGTCCAGGCCGATGATGCCGAGTATTCCCACGCACAGCCACGCTTTGCAGTCAACGTCTTCCAACACAAGTGCAATATCTCTTCGACGATTAAGCGCGAGAACATGGCCGCCCTGGTACGGATAGATTGCACGTGGGATCCTTGAAGCCATCTTCTTCTTCCGTATTGGAACCACGACGCGTCGGACGCGAAGGGAACTTGAAGGAGAACTCTGCAATTTTCGTCACCAATACTCCTCGGCAACCTGCTTCACCTTTGTGCCAATACAAGATATCCACCACCTACAGCTTCCCAGATGTAGACCTCTTCCAGGGTTGCTCAGGCCCAAGCCTTTCGGCTAAGGGTTTCGCTGCCACGAAGAACTGGCCAACTTCTCGGGATGCCGTCCGTGGTCTCGGCCGTGGCACGAACAAAAATGAGCTGGCGGGCATTCTCCGTTTTACACCAATAGCTCGGACGAGCCACACGCATTAACGCATGTAGACGTCTTGGGAATGGATCGCCGGTAGAGTGAAGCAGACTTTTGAAGACATTCCATGTGTGTTGTCAGCCTTTGGAAGGAACAATTCGAATGATAAAGGTGCGCCAGATGTTTAGTGATGATGAGATGCCTTTCTCTAATTGCGCTGCTCAGCTCATACGGTCCCGTCGCTTGTCACCAGAAAAGGAGACTCGAGAGACGCCTGCTCTTTCGTGGCGACAGTCTGCAGCCCGACGGAGCTCGAACCATTCTCCTTTCAAGCTAACGCTTAACTTATCGATGCCCGAAGAATCAAGGAGGATGTCGAGCACTTCCCTATTTCGTTGCGTGGTTTTGTGCAGCATCGAGCAGCATAAGGCGGAGAACCAAGAAGCCTGTCGATAGTGACCTATCCCCTGGCAGAAGAATAATGAACGAAGATTCGATGCATAGAAGTCGCACTCTTACCTGGATTTTGGTTCAATCGCTGCATTTGCAACCAAGACTGCTAAATCTATTCACACTGCCCATCCAATTCGAACCTTTCCGAGAAGCCTCTGACGGATGCGAACTCGGCGAGGCCCATGGATGATTCACCGCGGCTCCAGTCTATTGCGTAACTGCCACGGCATTGCACTGTCGTCTCGACTCGTCTGCCTCCGTCTGAATTAACCCATAGCTGCATTGAAGACCCCAAAAAGTCTTCATATTCAAACTCGTGAGGGAAATCCAGGGCAGCGTCGAGTCTTAAACCGTGTTCACCCCCAGAACGATAAATTTTGATATCGAGGCCATTATGCTTGGTGACCTGTCGGAAGGAAGGGAGATCATGATCGATAACTTTTCTGCTGTCATTCCTTGGTGACCCTGTCGCAGATTTTCGAGATCCGGTGCGGCCGGCGTTGACGCGCGTTCCAGTTGACGTCGCAAATCCCGGCGGGCGTGTTATCTGGAGGGAGATGACGATTGCGCACTGCCGATCCTGGTCACCGATGGCTTCCGGCGAGCGCTGAATGATAAATCCAGCTCAAGCAGATCCCGATATTCGGCAATTGAAGGCGAATTAAAGCAGCGGAGCCGCCTCAGCACACCCTCAACATTCTAACCAAGCTTCGACATGTCTCTTCCAACTTTTGGTTCCTCCACCACCGCAGAGGAGGCGGCTGATGTGCTTTCCAACGTAATTTCTGGCAAGAACGGTACGATCCTGACATTATTTTGTTCAGCTGGGACTAATACCCCCCTACCAGTACTTGTCACCGGAACGTCGCTCGAGGGTATCGGCTTTGAAACCGCGCGGGCCATTGCAAAACACGCCGCACTCGTCGTCATTACCGGGTACAACAAGGACCGCCTCCAACTCTCCGTGGATGCTATCCGCAAGGACAAACCGGCTGCTCAAATTCGCCCGCTCGTGCTCAATCTCGCGTCGCTGTCGGCCATTAGAGAAACGGCCAAAGAAATCAATGGTTACGCTGAGCCAATCCATGTATGTTTCGGCTGTTCATGGCTTGTTAAAATCCACTAACGCGTTGAAGGTCGTCATCCATAACGCCGCCGATACTAGTGGTGTCTACTCCGTCACTGCAGACGATATCGAAGGACAAATGGCCGTCGCCCATTTCGGGCCATTCCTCTTGACTAAGCTCATTCTCCCGAAAATCCTCGCCAGTAAGACCGCCAAATGGACCCCGCGTATCGTGCTTGTGTCCTCGCTTGCGCATTCGATGGGCCCCGGCATAGAGCTCACTGCCTCCGCCTTGCGCAAGCCGGCCACGGGGCCCGAAACCAGCTACTTCCTCCGCTACCACGAAGCCAAGTCGGCAAACGTGCTATTTGCGCTGGGCCTCGCCAATCGCGGCGCGGGAAAACTCAGGGCGTATAGCCTGCATCCCGGAGGTATGTACTATGGCAGCGCGCGCCGCGCAGCGAGTTTTGGCTTACTATTAACGTGTTCTTCAGCTATCTACACGAACGTCTTCATGAAGGATACCGCAATCCCGATGCTCAAGTCAGTTGGTAAGTTTGAGGATTCCGCTTTTGGATAGATTCGGATTGTGATGCGAGACAGGGCTTTTGAACGAGGATGCCACACCCAACACGGAGGCACATGAATGGAAGACCATTCCCCAGGGCGCATCTACGTAAGGCACACCTGCATCCTTCAGAGGCTACTAAAACTCCCGACTAGCTCGGTCGTCGCTGCGTTTGATCCTCGTCTTGACGGTTTGGCTGACCATCGTCCTTGAGCGTTTCGCTGACTTCGGCGCAGATAAATCCGGTGCTTACCTCGTTGATGGTGCCGAGGCCAATGCGCAACGGGCTCCAATCTGCTCCGAGTTGGTAGGTCTACCAATTGCTTCGGCGCTTCGCATTACTGACCTCGCCAGGCGAACGCAGACAAGCTTTGGAAGCTCACCGAAGAGATTCTTGGCGAGGAGTTCGTTCTATAATTACTTTGGCTGTCAATGCGTGTTAAAGGGTGTCTACAAACAAACAGTACAAGTTTTCCGTATGCTTGGGATCTATCAAAGATATACTGGTAATCGTTCGTCAGGTTGTGCATGTCATATTCCATGTGCAGAGAGTCATCATGTCATCGCCTTAAAAGGTTTTCGTCCATTCGGTCATGTCCACTCCGTTCTGTCGTGACTCCCTTATCCAAGGCATTTCCTACAACTGACCGTTAGTCAAGCCGACAAGAGGACGAAACAAGTCGCACGAATAGCCCCCGTCAGCCCCGTCCTCTTCTCGCCATCCTTCTCCAGACATGCATCCACGAACTTCTCTGCGTCATGCCCGAATTTACCCGAGGGCAACCGGGGGGCGGGCTCGTGGACAATTTGGTGCATTAGCTCGATGATACTTAGTGTCATGCCGCCTCCATGGAGCGAGACACCTTTGCTTCGTCGTTTCGAACGGCGTTTGGATGTTGGCGAGCTGGGAATCTATAATCGTGGTCAAGGGTCTCTTCAGTAATCAGGGGATGGATATATACTGTGAGCGAAACCCGATGAGTTGCCGGCGGTGTCCTGTGTCCTTCACCCTCCAAATCCGAGTCGTTGTCCGAATCGAAGGAGCCCGAGAACGGGAATTGACCAACGATGAGCTCAATGAGGGTTATGCCCAGCGACCAGATGTCTGATTTGACGGAGTAGGTCGCGCCTTGAATGCGCTCCGGCTACATGGACCATTAACAATATGCTTGAATAGATGAAGCAGCTTCACGCACACTCATGTAAATGGACGTGCCAACGAAGGTGTTGGCAATGGAGTTGATAAGCTCCCCAGAAACACCGAAGTCGCATAGCTTGATTTCGCCTTGTGAATTGCACAATATATTCGAGGGCTTGATGTCTAGGAACAACATTAGCGCCAGCGAGAAAGAACAAGACATCGATTTCGCACCTCGGTGGATGATCCTATGTTCATCATACAAGTACCGCTGCCCTTCCAACACCGCAACAGCTACTTTGCCGACCACCTTGACGTCGATGGGCCCAATGCGCTTGTAAATGGCGTCGAACGAGCCCTTGTCCATGAACTCCATACATAGACAGATGTTTGGCTCTGCGAGGTATGCGCCGTAGGAAGACACGATGAACCGCGAGTCGCAGTCATGCATGATCTGGAGCTCGAGCAAGATCTTTTTCCGCTCCGCCGGTTTCGCGTCAATCAGAACGACCTGCGGGAAGAAAGGCGCAATTAGCAAAGGCGGGCGCCGCAAGGGGAATCAAAACGTTGGTCCCCCGGGCTTCCACCAACACGAAATCGAGACTGGAAGTAGACACACACACACCTTTTTTGCCATGATGGTCCCTGACTTCACATGCTGCACCTTCATCACGCTTCCGCCGTTCCCGCTCCCCAGCTCCTGCAGACTGGTGAAATCGTCGTTCTTGAGATCGAACTCCCGTTTCTTCGTGTTTTTCGCGTCGAGCGCCGCGAGTCTGCTGGACAGCGACGCGGCATCAGCTTGCGGGGAGGTCAGGTCGATAGCCGTTGCGTTTGTGCCGTCGTGTAGAGGCCGGTGACCGTGAGGGGTCGGTGCTCTTGGACCTAGGGGCGCAAGGCGGGTCGGGTGGGGCTCTTCTAGGTTGCTAGCGAGGGGACGATTCGCCACGGGGAGCTGCAGATTGCGGAAGTTGCGCTTTTGGCGAACGGACATGGTTGGGAGAAGAAGAGGAGGGAGGCGTTTGCCGCCGAAGCGCTAGCCATCCTTGGCCAACGGCATTGGTGGTATCTTGGAGACGACCCGGAATATGAAGTGAGGAGATTGACGGAATGCGGTGTCTTGTTTTGCTGATTTTTTTCGGCCGTTTCGGCTGTCATCAAGGCCTAGAACGCCGTCTTGATCCAGGCTGTGCGTTCCGCGGATTGATCAGTCAGAGCGTATAGCATGGATTTTCATGCAGTTTGTGCACATATTGGTTGGTTATGTTGACCAGAAACAAGTCTAAGCTGACTGTAACTACTTTATCGGACTTCATCTATGATGTGACGCACCGGGTGCGTCACATGCCTACACCTGCTTTGCTTTCTACCAACACCTCACCCTTTATCATGTCTTCCAAATCCGAAATGAAAGACGAGAACTATTATTTTGACGATGGAGACTGTGTGTTCTGTGTCAGTGGGGTCTTTTTCAAGGCATACTATTTATTTCCAAGTCAAGGGTATAGAGCTAATAACAGAATGTAGCTACACAGGGCTATCCTTGGCAGAGATCCAGACTCGATGTTTCGGACAATGTTTGCACTGCCTCAAGGATCAAAAACCCAGAAACCTACAAGTACTCTTGAATATGATGTGATGATAGCAGATGATTCTTTGGATGATTTTCGTGCCCTATGCTGGATCTCCTATGCATTGTGAGCAAATATATTCTGCACTTCAATTTAGCTGACTCCTGTTCAATCAAAGGCCATCTGAGACACATCTGCAGTTCACCCAGCCAGCTAATGTTCCCAGACTGCTAAGTGTGGTGAAGATGGCACAAAAATATTCTATGACACAATTTGAGGGATGGGCCTTTACAATGCTCCATGCACAATGTGGAACCAAAGCGCCACTGAACTATGCAGAAATTTGCACAGAGGACATGCTTGCACAGATGCTTAAACTTTCTTTGGCTTGTGAGGCCACAACTTTTGCTGCTGTTATTATGTCAACTTGGCTGGCACGCATAAGCAAAGGGCGAGTTCCTGGCAACACGAGCACTAACACTGGGTGAGCAGCAAGAACCACCTCTCCGCACCTTTGTCACACATCTTTATATGCGCATAAATGCAGCACTTGCTATTGATGCCTCTGAAGAGGCCATCTCTGCCCTTGGACTCACAGAGGTGCAATGCCTTCGGTTGCTGTCAGGTTATGCACGACTTTGTGGTGCCTGGAATGCCTGTCGAGCCAAGGCAGCTGAAGGAACAAGTTACAGAAGCTCTGGTCCCTCTCGCATATCAGATAACTGTACTGACCACAGTGCCTGTGAGACATTGTGGAAGCATGCTATTTCACCATCTGGAAAGGAGCAGGGTAAAATTGATATTGTCTCTTGTCTAGAGAGAGCAAGAGCAGGCACACGAGGTCCAAGGGGATCTCTATGCATCAAGGAGCTATTGGAAGGCTTTTTACTAAGTGATACAACTCAGCTCGAAGACCTTCTGTTGGGGCCAGTAGCTTTGCAAACTACTAATACAAGCACCTAGGTTCTCAAGCATATATTGTTGCTCAATTATGGTAAAATACTAGTTATTGAACCAGAAATTTGAGATACTTGCAAGGGATCTTACTATCATGTCTTTACTCATATAATGTACATGTCTTTTTTCTGAAGTATGTATCATGTAAAAAGTTCTTTTTTTGTTGGATCAAGAAAATAACTGATACTTCAGTATATATAAATATATATCACTTCATTACTTTGACCCAAAGCATAATAGACCAGGGCTTTGAATCTTGATGACATGTTTTCTGTACTAGACTCTGGTGAGTACTTAGCAGTAGTATGTAAGCTCAATCTCTAATTCCCTTGCTCTAAAACTTATAAGTCAAATAGTTAATGTCTTATTTTTCTTTCTTGCTCTTCAAACCTGTGTAAATATAGCCAGACTGTTAGGCTTTGGGTCAAGCTGTGCAATGTCGGAAATTTGAAACTTGCCTTCTAAGGGAGCTGATCATAAGGAAGCCTCTAATATGCTTACAAGTGTAACTGTCAGGGGATGAGTCCAGGTGCCTAGTTGATACCAAAGCCGGGGGAACGGCCCCACAGCCAACTACTTAAGTACAGGGCTATCTGCGTACGGATCAGTCACGTGATCAGTCACAGCTGTCACATCACATGCTCCCCTTACAGTAAAAACAACAACAGTGGTTATAAAAATAAGTCTTTAATTTATATTTTGTCTTCAAAGGAATGAGCGGTGATGCCCAGTATTGCACCGAAGGGCTAAGGCTTCGGCCTGCTCTAAGGCCTAAGCCCTAGGCCGAAGCCTTAGGCTAAGGCTTCCCATATACAGGTAGGTGGCCGAAGGCCTTAGAGGTCACGTGTTCTGTGACAGTCACATCACGATAACGATCAATTGCGCGGCTCTCTTTCCCTCTCACGATGGCATGCCCTATGGGCATTCTTCTGGAACCGGCCCGGCCAGAACAGAAGCCATATTCGCGCTGCTTGCCGCGAATGTGTCAAACATTACATGCACCATCCACGGCCTGAATGGGAGGACACCTGCCCACTGGAGAACCTTGACGAAAATGAGCGTGGTATTCGGCATGAGCTTGGTGCGCAGCCAGGCAACTACTGCACAGATATGTACTAACTTAATGCACAGCCTGCAATACTGACGGTGTCCATTGTAATGGTGTCCCTGCCTCGCTTGCCGCCCATTTCAATGGGTATCGAGGGCAAGCTGCCTGCCCATATGCCCTCGGCGGACGCGCGGGAACTGGGCCGGAAGTACAAGGAGGACGAGCAAGCACGAGCTCGTGCCGCGAATGTAGCAGCACCGACCGCTGCTAGCTCCAGCAAACGCCCTCATCTCGCGACAGTGAATGACGGTCCTGGGCCCACACCAACTCCCCCGAATCCACCACCAAAACGCGCCAAGACACAGGCAACGTTGAATGTCATCTCAGCGCGGGACTCAAAGTACACGCCATTGGAGATTGAGAAGATCGAGCGGCAGGCTCTCCGTGCCGTTGCGTCAACCGGACTTTATAACGACGAGGAGATGTGCAAACTATTCGAGCTCATTTGTCCCGGAACTTCCGCCATCCTTCCTTCACAACGGGTTATCGGTGGGCAGCTGCTACGAGATGAAGCATTGAAGGTGACGGAGGAAACACAGAGTGCGCTTCGGGGCAAGAACGCTGGTGTATTGTACGTGTTTCCTTCCCACTTCAGTCGTTGCTAAAGGTCTTTCAGCGTTGACGGCTGGAAAGGACAAAAACACCAGTCCGTCAATGGTGTCTGTGCCAATGTCGACAGCAAGTCGTACCCCATCGACCTCATTGATGCCACGGTGCTGCCCAAGGACGGGCCGGGTCTCTGCACCCAGTTTGTCAAGATAATCGAGGACATTGAGCGCGTCTACGAGTGCATGGTCACGCACTTTATTACAGATGCGGATGGCGGCAGTCTAAAGGCACGAAAGCTTCTCCTGAAGCTGCGACCTCATTTGTTTGCGGTCTCATATACGGCACACCAGGTTGGTAGTTCCAGAAAACATCTCCCAAGCTCATGCGCGTGCAGTTCCAGCTCATTCTTGGCGATTATTTCAAGTCCTGGGACGCGGCCAAGTCAATCGCTGAGCAGGCAACTGCCGTTATTGCCTGGATCAACAATCATAGCAAGGTTCGGGTTATCTTCGATGCTGCTCAGCTTAAACTTGGCGCAAAAACCACCCTTGCTTACCTGGTCGCATGTCTCACCCGCTGGACCACGCATTTTACCGCATTTGCCCGGTTAGTCAATCTCAAGAAGGCTATCACTATGGCTGTTGGCTGGCAGCGCGACGACATCATCAAGGCGCAGGTTGGGGCTGCGCAATCGACGGAAGCTGCACGATTGTCGGCCGATGCGAAGGAGCACTGTGACATGGTTGATGATTCCGCGTTCTGGGATGGGCTCGAGCAGGTGCTGGGTGATATAGAAGCTATCTGCTACATGACGAATCTGGCACAGAGGGATTCGACGCGAGCGGACCAGGTACTACTAGGGCTGGTCGGGGTGTATCTCCGGTTTGTGGAGCACCCTGAAACGACCATGAGGGATGAGATGGTGCGGCGCCTTGAGAAGCGCTGGGGTGAATGGGACCAGATGCTGTTTGTTGGGAGCAGCTGTCATGCTTTAGCAATAGCGCTAATCTCGATCATTTCAAGGTCATTGATATTGTGGTTCAGGAATGTAGCTTTTTTCCGCCGCTAAATGTGACTGATCTTCTTGTAGATATATTGCCGACTTGCCCTTCATCCTGGCTCAAAGGCGACAGTTGCGGGTGAGACTGCCGTTCCCAATGCAGTTGGAGACTATCTTGCTGGTATCCACTGTTTCACATCCTGGACAAAGCATGTTGCAAGTGGGGAGAAGTATGCTATTGACGAGGTATAATTTTCTCTCCAACTCGTACTTGCTGATACTCAGTTAACTAGACGCGTGACCCAAATCAGTGGTGGATTGGCTACCTTAACACAACGGCACACGAACTTGCTGAGTTGGCGCTTCTCATTTTCAAGATTATTGTGAATCAAGCCCAGTACATATAGCTGCATCTATGCAAAAGATGTGGGTACCATCCCAAGGGGGTAATGCAAAAGATGTTGTGAGAGATGTATTTCATGAATTTCTCACTGGAATCAAGAGATATGACTAATATAAAAATACATATAGGAAGAGAAATCACCTTTTCTTTGGGCTGAATATTCGTAATATTATATTTGGGACTTATAAGCCCAGGGACCAAAAATTAATCATTGACTAAGTAAGGTTGATGTAGCAAGTCATCAAAAGCTCTGATGGCAACCAAAAATCGTTCCACATTGATCAACATACCTCTATGCCATTGATCCCATCACTGATACCTTGATATAGCAGCCACAAACAAGAAAAAACAAGAAAACAGTGCTATTTAATTTAATTTCCAAGCAGTTGCCCTCATCTTTTGCATT